TATAATCAATGTTTTTGTCTTATGTTGATTTTAAACTTGGAAAAATTAATAAAGTATGTAAGAACATTGAAAACTAATCTTATTTCAATTTCTGAATAGGTATTTTCCTTATTCAATCAGGAGAACATTGTGGACATAGTATAGTTGGATTTCAGCAAAGTATTTGACAAAGAGCCCCATGACATTCCAATTAGCAAATTGGGCTGGATGGTACTGTAACTGACTGCAAGGCATATATGAATCAGCAATTCAGCACAACATATGTAATTTTAGACTCCATGGCTGAATTAGGAGTTCCAATATATTCTCCTTCAGTCAGAGCTCCACAACAAGTAGTGTTCCAATTTGGGGCATAACATTTTATGAAAGATATGGAGAATTAAGGGAAGAAAAATCCAGAATCTAGATTAGAAATTAAATTTTATGAAAATAGACTGAGATGACTAGGCATGTTTAGCCTTGGAAAAATATGAGAATAGGAACATAAGACTACTTTTCAGACACTTGAAGGATGTCAAAACTTGTTTCCTATTGACTCAAAATGCAATTGAACAATATCTTAAGTTTACAAGGCAGACTCCAATAGAAAAATATCCCAATCATGAAGTAGTTCGACAAAGGAAATGGTGAAGTCCACCACACAAGGAATATGTATTACATAACGATAGCCATGAAGACATGTATAATGTGAAAAAATGTGTGGTGCCTGATATCCTTCAAAAATAAGATTTTAACATTTCGCATGTGTGCTTCAAACATGAGTGAAAATGTTATTCTTTTGTCTGTCCTCTTTTATCTAGTTTGCACTTCCTGTCACAGATTGGAAAAATCAAATCATCTGGCAATGAAATGGACTCCTTGCCTTTTCTCCAGATCTGTATAATTCCTTTATCCTTACGCCGGGTGTGGGCAATCCGCGGCTCTTTGGGCCCTCTGCTGCGGCTCCCTGTCCCATCACTGGTTGGCCCTGCCCCTCGCTCTCCCCTACCAGTCACTCCTTGCCTGGCCTGAGAAGGTAAAGGCGACGGTGGGGTGTGGAAAAGCAGCCGGGGCTGATTTTCCGGCGCCTCACTCTTCCTGGACCTTCTTCCGGCCCTAGTTGATGCTGGGCGTGCCTCGGTTGCTTGGAGAAATGCGCAACCTGCTCTCCGCCGCGAGACACTGGCCCGACCCGGCCGGGACCGACGCTGGCCCCGCTAACACGAGGGCTGGCGGGGTGGGAATGGGAACCGGGAGGAGGGGACAACGGAAAGGGGGACGGGCCCGCAGCGCCCAGCTGTGGCTTTCAGAGCAGCAAGAAAAGGGAGATGGCCCCGCCGAATCTCGCACGCCCATCCCGGGGGTCAGGAAAGCCGAAGCTGGGCCAAGCAGGCGAGCTCTCCTTGGGGCTCTTAGCTACTGCTTTTCTGTCTTCTTTTTGGAAATCCGGGCTGGCTAAGGAACGAGCGCGAAGCACAGCGGAGGCTTCCCTTCTCCTCCTCCTCTCGCGACCCCCTGGCGGGCTGTGGCAGGGCCGGGAGTGTGCGCACGAGCGGGTAGACCCTCCTCAAGCGAGCAGCCACCCATCCTGCACGCGCCTTTGCTGCTCTTTGGCCGAGCCTGCCGGCTCTCTTAAGGAGGATCTCCTCGCTCGTGCGCACGCTCCTGGCCCTGCCACAGCCAGCCAGGGGGTCGCGAAAGGAGGAGGAGAGTCACCCGAAGGGAAGCCTCCGCTGCCGTTCGTACTCATTCCTCAGCCAGCCCGGATTTCCAAAAAGAAGAAAGAAAAGCAGTAGCGAAGAGCCGCAAAGAGAGCTCGCTGGGCTTTCCGAGAGAGTGAGAAGAGACACAGATACAGAGAGAGATATAGAGATACACACACATACAGAGACATGAGAGAAAGAGAGAGATACAGAGGGGGGAGAGGGGAAGATAGGGAGAGGGAGAGAGAGAGACATAGAGATACAGAGGGAGGGGATGCACACACACACACAGAGACATCGAGACAGACACAGAGTACAGAGAGGTGGAGGTAGAGAGACAGATATAGAGAGGGGGAGAGGGGAAGATAGAGGGAGAGAGATACAGAGAGGGGAGAGAGGGAGGGGAGAGAGACAGAAAGGGGGGAGAGAGAAGGGAAGATAGAGAGGGAGAGGGAAAAAATAGGGAGAAGGGAGAGAAATACAGAGAGAGGGGAAGAGACATAGAGATACCGAGAGCAGGAGAGAGATACAGAAGGGGGTGGGGGAGATAGGGGAGAGAGACAGATATAGAGAGGGGGAGAGGAGAAGATAGGAAGAGAGATAGTGGGGGGAGGGAGAGAAAGAGAGATACAGGGAGAAGGGAAGAGAGAGAGAGACATAGATAGGGGGGGGGGGAGAGAGAGAAAAGGGTTTTGTGGTTCCTGGTTCTCTGCGCTAATGACCGGCTGGGTAGGCATGGCTAAGGGTTCATGTGACTGGGAGTGAGTGACATCGAATTGGCCGCAGGCACCCAGGTTTTGTGGCTCCCAGTGTTTTTTTCTGTGGGAAACGGGTCCAAATGGCTCTTTGAGTGCAGACCAGTGGTGAAATCCAATTTTTTTTAACTACCGGTTCTGTGGGCGTAGCTTGGTAGGTGTGGTATGGCTTGGTGGCCGTGGAAGGATATTGCAAAATCTCCATTCCCCCCCCCACTATGGGGCCAGCCTGAGGTGGTATTTGCCGGATCATTTGCCAGCAGCTCAACATGAGTATCTGCGCAAGAAGATGTGCCTTATTTGATGATGTACTGATATTCGCTCAACTGGCAAAGAAGGGGAATGTCACCGTTATTTTATTTACCAGCTGCGCTCATTATTTCTGGACTATCTGACTTTCCGTACCTTGCCAAGAATTCTTATCAGTAAGCTACGTGTTTCCGTATCCACCCACATTCCTTCACTTGCTTCACACACTCTTCCCTTTGTTCAATTTTATCTTCTTGTGAAAGACTAAACCCCTTCTGTGTCTTTTCAATCTGAACACCTAAATAAGTGCTAATGTGACCTAATGATTTCAATGTGAAGTATCTCTGCAAAGCTTTGGCAAAAATTTCACTCATTTGCTTATTTGGACCAATATAAACAATATCATCAACATAAACAAGAACTATCTCATATGCATTGTTAGATCTTTTTGTGAACACGCACTCATCAGTTTCGGACTTAATAAAGCTCATTGAATTTAGTTTGTCAGTAAGACATAAATACCACATTAAACCAGATTGTTTCAGACCATAAAGACTTTTGTTTAGGAACCAGGTATCCCCTTCTTGCTGTCGGAATCCTGGAGGACTTCTCACGTAGATCTCTTCGTCTAGGTCTGCATGTAGATAAGCGGTGTCAACATCAAACTGGAAAACTTCTAAACCAAGGATAGTTGCAGTTGCTAAAGCAATTTTTACACTCTCAGTTCTGACTGTCGGTGAGTAAGTATTTGTGTAGTCCTCAGGATAACGTTGAGCGAAACCCTGAGCTATAAATCTGGCTTTGTACAGTGACTCACCATTTGGTTTCTTTTTGATTCTGTAGACCCATCGAGTGCCAATGACTTTTTTGTTTGCTGGAGGTTTTGCAGGTGTAAATACTTTAAGTTTCTTTAGACTGTCCATTTCAACCTGCATTGCATCATATCATCTGTCTCTGAATCAGAAATGCACGAGCCAGAACCAGAACTACGTGAACTTTATTCTTTTTCAAACCATCCTCTGCTACCAGATGTCAGGGCATTTATTAATCCCATGTTTTTGTTGGCTTTAGGAGCCTTTGGAATAGCAACAGGATCTCTCACTGGAGCATCTCTCTCTGGGCCTGTGCTCTCCCCTTTTGGAGTTTGCATACTTGCCTGTGTTTGCGTTTTAGGCTTTGGCTTTAAGTAATAAACACCACCAATTAATATGGTTTCAGCAACAATATCTCCATCTTTAACTATGTAACTTGCTTTTTCAAGGTGGTGAACTTGGAACTTTAACATTCTAGACAAGTGAACTGACTAAGCAAATTACTGGTTGCTGTTGGTATGTAATAAACATCAGGAATGAATGCATCAAGCTCTTCAACATAAACAGTTCCTTTTCCTTTGACCTGACATCGCCAAACTCAAAATTTCTACCAGTTCTCCAGAATCTGTCAGAACCTGCTGGATTTCACCCCTGCTGCAGATTCTATCAGGAAGAGAACACATCGTCATTTTAATGGAATCTGGAAGACAGGGTCAGTGAGGCCAATGTAGAAAAGACCTGTTGGGTCTGGGATTGATGAGGAATTAATGAAATATAGACCAGAAATACACATTTCTGCTCCCTTTTAGAATACTAAATTCTTTTGAAGACCAATATCAAAAAGTTGTGAACATATCCTTATTGCTTTCAACAGTTTGTCCAGAGATTAAGTCTTCAATTTTGTATCCAACTATACCTCTGAACTCTCATGGAAATTGGTAGGGCATAGAAATATTTAATGTAGAATTGCACTTTTATTTTTATCTTGCTATATTTCTTTGCTTTTGTATTTATTCAAGGTAAGATTATAAGAAAACAATTATCTTTTGGGAAAATTGTGAATTTAAAATACTGTATAATATTTGCAAACTGCGCAAAGTAATTTAGGTGAGATATATGGTAAAAAAATTTGATAAATAAGTTTCAGATTATGTAATTTAAATGCAGTGAAATTAAAAAGTGCCAGAAGCATGGATCTGCTTTACTGCTTTATAAATCCTGCACTGAAAAATAGCTGAAATTACTAGAATTGATGTAAAATAAAATAAAATAAAAAATGATTTACGATCTTTAAATCCCTTAGCTTAGTCCAAAGGATACCTATTTCCTCATGAATCTGCTCAAATCATGAGAATAATTAGAATTTCCTCTGTTAGCCATACAGAAACCAGTCTTTGGTTATCTCATGTTGTAAAATTGTAAGATGAAAATCATTTGACCTTAGTGACTGACTTTGTTGCCACCACTATTGCTTTTCTTTTTAAGTACTTAAATACTGTAGGATGAATGCTTAATAATTTATTTTATGAGTTGTTTGGATCTTTTATAGCAAAAAAGTGGAATACAAATATTTTAAATAAATACAGTATTTTAACATGACATTGTAATTAGGGATGAATATGTGGGATACATTCCAGAAGTGGTTGAGCCAAGAGAAAAATAAATCTTATATAAAATTAAATCAAATATGAAGCTAATTTATGTTTACAATTGCAATGTTTTCCCGCTCTGCTGATGTTAAAGTAGAAGAAGATGGTCTTGTTATATAACTATATAGTGGACTTCCCTTTTCAGTTGCTGGATTTGAAAAGGGGAATTTTGAATATGCAAAGAAATCTATCCTTTTCCCTTTCTGGCTGAAAGAGGGTTTCCTATTCATAAGTAACTTTTGTCCACTGACATGAGTTCAGGATTTGAAGAGATGATACGTAAGTAAACTCTTCTACAAAAAGTAAATTTCATTAAATTCAGTGCAAAAACAGACTTGAAGTTGGTGAAGAAATGTAATACTGCAGAAGATAAAGCTAAAATGATGTATGCATGAGAACATCAATGAATTAAATCAAAGGTGACACCCTCCACTCCCAATGCTTAGCTCTCTTTTTTGCAGTCAACTAATTTTAATTACCTGGGAAATATCCTTGCCTTTTTTCAGTTAGTATAGTGTTTCTAAATCAACAGAGACTTTCCTCATGCAGTGTGTATTAGATTTACTTGTTTTGTATTTATTTATTGGAGTAAGGTTTTCTTACTCCAATAAATAATGGTAACAATAGTGGATGTTAAGTGAAAAGGTTCTTTTTAAATATATCTTTAATCTATCTCTTAATTTTTTATACTCCGGAAGAATAGGAATAGATATCTAAAAATTTACATGGTACAATTGCAACCAGCCTGCCTTCGATTGAGGAACTGTATACTGTCAGAAAGAGGGCTGAGAAAATATCTACAGAGCCCTCACATCCTGGACATAAACTGTTTCAATTTGTGTCCCCTCACAAATTGCTGAGGGACACCGCTATAGGGCATTGAATGCCAAAACAACTAGACACAGAGACAGTTCCCCCCTCCCATGCAGGGGTGAAATGTTCCTGGTTCGGACTGAACGCGTGATCTGGTAGTGATGGAGGCGGGTGGTTCGGAAAACCGGTAGCAAAAATCCCTGCCCCCCCTATGCCCAGCTGAGCCACACAATCATCAGAGGCTTCTTTTTTACTTTTAAAAGCATTTTTTCTACAACCTCTTTGGCCGAAAAAATGCTTTTAAAAGTTAAAAAAAAAAAAGCCTCTGATGATCGCGCGGCTCAGCTGGGATCGTCAAAGACTTTTAAAAGAAAAAAATCCTTTTTTTCTTTTAAATGCCTCTAACGATCAGGCAACTCAGCTTGGATCATCAGAGGCATTTAAAAGAAAAAAAGTCTCTGCCGACCAGGCAACTCAGCTGGGATCGTCAGAGCCTTTTGAAAGCATTTTTTTACAACCTCTTCCCAAAGAGGTTGTAGAAAAAATGGTTTTAAAAGTTAAAAAAAAAAATGACCACGCCCACCCAGTCACATTACCCACCACCACCAAGCCACGCCCACAGAACTGGTAGTAACAAATTTTAGATTTCAACACTGCTCCCATGCCATCACTCTGCTAAACAACCAATTTCTATAGCACTGCCTTATGTCTAAATATATTTACCCATGTAGTACAGCTGTACTGCTATTATCCTTCTCATCTTTCCTACTACCCTCTCCTATTGGTATATTATGATTTATCACTTGTTTGTATCTTATAATTTATAATCTATGATTACCACTTGGTTGTATGTACACTGAGAACTTATGCACTGGAGACAAATTCCTTGTGTCACACAATCACACACGCCAATAAAGAATATTCCTATTCTGATTCCTTATTTTTCAAGAGCTAGTTGTTTGATTTGTTCATTCATACCTGATAATTACTTATTTTTTTGTATGATTTTCAAGAAATGTAGGTCTTTCAGGTAAGAATTCTTAAGAACAGGCCAAAAAAAGAGAGTAAGTCTTAGCTTTTCCACCCTGTGTCCCCTTATATTTAGTCAATCTTAAATGATTTACAACAAAAATGGGTAGAAACGAGGAAATTATAAGAATATGTTTTTAGTTAATGGGAAAAACAAATGAATAGAAACCGCAGAGATTTGGAGAAGACCCACCATCACAATACTGGAACTCAATGTAGGAAATTCAGAACAGAGCAAATATTTCCTCACATAACACAAACTATTGATTCACTTTTGATGATGACTGCCTATATAAATGAAGTAAATTCTAATCTAATAGGATTAGTTAAATTCAGAGTCACTGTTATCACCTGCTCTTTTTCAGAATAAGTGTACCATATGGCGGTCTAGATTCTGAAGCACCAAGGCACTCTAAATACCAGATGGTAAGGTAAAAGAGTAGAGAAGAAGTCTGGACACCTGTCCTACTAATGGACTTTACAGTGTCATTGAATGGGCTACTGCAAGAATTTGGTGGCCTTTGGTTTAATCCAGCCAGGGCATGCTTCTGTTTTTAAAGGAAGGGAGAGTAATCCCTTCAACCACAACAAAAACATGAACATTTAAGAATCACAAACATGGTTACATAACCTCATAGTAAAGCCTATTAATAATTGAATTGCTATATATATTGCTGTCAGAAAACCTGCTTTGTGAGGGTGCCTGGGAAATAATACCTGGTGGAGTTTTAATGAGATGTCTCCCTGTACGCTAGCAATTATTGCTTATTACTGCAGCACTAAGTTGCCTGCCCGTATCTTAGCAAACTTCTGAATCTAAATTATATATTATAACAAGGCACAACCCAATCACTGTTACCCCATAGTTATTTGCTGGATAACTGAAGCTGTAACTTGTTCATATCTATTCATGCAGTGAAGTTATTTCATCTGATGCAGATATTCCTACTTGGCAGCCATCATTCAGGGCAGCTTTTTATGCAGATCTGCAATTTCTTATTCTTGAAAATACACAGAAGCAAATTGTTCCTATAGCTATACATTGCATATTCTATCCTCATAATCATAGTAGCAATACAAAGTCACATTATGTTGAAATGAGATTCCTGCAAAGATTAGGGTGATCAAATGCAAACATGGTCAGAATTCCCCTTATTTGGTATGCCACATGAAGAGAGGAGTATAGATAAAGTGTAATGTGATGCACTACAGAAGCTGTGTATGTGTGTCTGCACACATGCACGCCTCTTTGAACCACCGTAGACTCCTTGTGATTGCTTGGTCTAGTTTACAGCTATAAAAAATATTTCTGATGCATAAGGATCAGATTCCTTTTTTGCATATCGTCATGATATGACATGGATATTCTGAAGAATAATTTTGCTTGCTTAATGCAATTTGAACTAAATGTCTATGGAGATCCTCAGTCACCCAGGCCATGGTTGTCCAAAAGGTGCTTTTTCAAGAGGCAACTGGACTTTCTGGTTTTTCTTTGAAGATGTTTCATTTCTCAACCAAGAAGCTTCTTCAGCTCTGAGTGGACGGTAGGGAATGGATCCTATGTTCAATTTTGACATACCCCTCTTTCAAACCAGAGGCCCTCTCTGTCCGAAATTTGGACTTTGCTGTCTTTAAGAGTGGCTTTTGTTTTTTAAATGCAGATGGACTGCTGAATCCTGTCCTGATGGGTTTGTTCTTCTATGTTGTCATGCGTTTATGAAGTGTACAGATCTGCACATGGCTCACTACATTGTACTGCATATATCACATTGCTTAGTTTGTGTCTGGGTGTTTTATCCTTGGGATGAACAAGGTTCTGCCTTAGTGTATTTTTGTGTTTGAAGTGTACATGTATGTTGTGTTGGCTGAAGATCCTCCTAAGCTTTTCCAATATTTCTGTAATATATGGAATGACAATGTTTTGTTTACTGTTCTCTTCATTGTCTGTTATGGAGGAGCTCCTGTAGGATCTTTTTTTGAGATTTGATGAAGGCCCACTTGGGATAGCCACATGTTGTGAGGGCTTCCTTGATGTGTTTGAATTCTTTTTCTTTCCTATCTTTGCTGGTAGGCAGGCCTTCAGCTCAGTGATGTAGAGTTCTGATGACTCCCATTTTGTGCTTGTAATTGGGATAATGGGTAGCTATCTCGAGACTTTCTGCCTAGAGACCAGATATTGTCTTGCGAAAGAAAGTAGCCAATAATCCAGTTTGTGAAGAAAATCATTACTTTCTTCTATTAAATTTAAAAAACCCAAAGATATACTGTTTTAAATATAAACTATCCGATGAAATAAATGTAGGACAATAGTTCCTACACATTTTAGTTTGGCTACAAAAATGTTCTTCATGTACAATATTTGAATTTACAAAAGTACACAAAGGAGTAATTGATAGAACAAAATGAAAAATACAGGAGATTTTTTTTTGTTTATGTAATATAGCATTAAGTATTATAGCATCTTGCTAAAACAGACCTTACCAAGAACTCCCCTGACTTCAACAGCTGTGCTCTGAAATGGAATGTTCTGAGTTGAGAATTTTAAGATCTTATTTCTAAGTGGTAAACACAATTTCTAGATATTCTTGCAAGCAGCAGAATCCTAATCCATTATCTTGAGGTGTTTTGTGAGCTAAAATAATGTCAATTAAAATTTCCCTGGATCAAAAAGAGTAAATATTAGTGTCATAGAAATTATATCATGTGTTTCAGCTAAATATACTGCACAGTATATAATGAGGAAGAATGTATCAAGAAATCCATATAGTTGTTTTTGCAATTATGGTGTTCAGATAAGGCTTATCAACTCTGCCACCTCATTTTATCACTATTTTGATCAGTATACATTTGCTGATAAATGATCATAAATGGGTTTAATATATAAACCCATTTATTTATGGGTGTCCTTGCCGCTTCCCACAATTGTCTCAGTTGAGCTGAATTCAGTTGAAGGGTCCAAGACCAGGTCACTAGGTTGCATCTGTACCTGAGCAATTTCTTTCCCTTCTTTCATTTCTAAAGATATACTATCCTGTGTGAGGTGATCCATACAGTCCTTCTTAGTTAACTGGTGAACTGAGACTTTTATAGCAATCTTGAGTGGTGGTTCATGCAAAGAAGATGCATCTGAATCAGCAGCAAGAGAGTCACTACGCTTTAGGGGACTGGAAATCATGTACATTTCATCAGGGTCCGTGATCCCTTGCCCCACGGCTGATTGCCTTACAAATTTATGGCCTTGTTCCTCTAATCTGACTACTTCCATGATTTCTTCCATGATAGTCCTACAATTCATTATAAGAGGTGGTAGGGGAACACTTCTAGCTAGTTCCTCAATGTAGCGGGCAAACTCCATTGTCTTAAACTGGGTTACTTTGGCAAGCTCAAGAGTTTTTGCTGAGGTGATTATTGGGATGCGCTTAGCAATCTCAAAAGCTTTTTGCAGCTTTTCAGCTCCTTCTGTCCGAAAAAAATCATTGATTGCTTTCTCAGTCTTTTTCAAGTGGCTACTCATCATGCATAATCTAGTAATATTTAAGATCAAAACAACAGTAAATGCTACAAGACATACAATCATGTAGTAGATCCCCATGTCTCCAGCGATAAATACAACCCTCAGGGTGACAGTATTATTCACTTTGCCATAGATGTTAGAAGCAACACATGTGTATTTTCCTCGATCTTCAAATGACACACTGGTAATATTTAGTTGCCCGCTATTGAGAATCCATTTTCCTGCTGGAAAGAAGCCAGAATTAATTAGTAAAATGTATCTATTTTTTCTTCTCATCATCATTTAGGAAATATCACAATACATTCAAATAACTGTTTCAAAGACATCTTATAATGCATTTACAATATTCTAAAATAACTGCTGCTAAGAAACTTGAAGTCTTGGCCATTAATTAGGTCTAGTAAATACCCCAAACTGCTTGTCCAAGAATGCCATAGAATGTACCATGATATTGCTAGGTTGTAAAACTGTGTATATTCTCAAGCAAAATTATCCCTTAAATCAGCGGTTCTCAACCTGGGGGTCGCGACCCCTTTGGGGGTCGAACGGCCATTTCACAGGGGTCACCAAAGCCCTCTCTCGCCCCCACATGCCTTCACTCACCCTCACTCTCTGCTCTGTTGGATCGCCGGCCATTCGTTTACCCCGCCCATTCCCAATCTATTGCTGCCTCCTGAGTCCCAGCTGATGGCTAGAGGGAAAAAAACTGTTTAAATTCTTGCCGCGGGGCTTCAAAGGGCTGCCCTATAGCCAGTGGTGGGATTCTGCTGGAACCGTTTGTTAAATTGCTGGCTTGCCCCGCCCCTCTGCACCACTATTTATTGCCAATAAATAGTGGTGGGTGAGGGGCGGGCGAGCCAGCAATTTAACGAACGGTCCGGTGTTTTTTTGTAATTTTATTGGCCCGCGGAGCTTCAGTATAGGCTAATTAGCCCTTGATTAGATCGGCTCCAGACTCTCAGCTGATTTGCTCTCAGCTGTTTTGCTCAGGGGTCGGCTGCTTGTTTGCAAAGAGTGCTGGAGCAAGTTTTTTTCCCCCTAGCTATGCTGAAAAACGAAACTGAAACTGCTTTGCTGTTGCTGCAAGTTGGAAAATTAGGCAGACAGGTTTCTTTTCTTTTTCCTCACCAAAAAAGGTAGGTGCAAACAATGGGAAATTTAGGGAAAAAGAGGAGAGTTCAAGATTTTAAAACACAAAAGAAAAAAAGCTCTATTTAACTAGGGAATTGTAATAATTGAGATACTATTAATTGTATATTTCTGAAAGCAGAAATGGTTAAGTTGTGGTTTGGAGGAATATATGGGGAAAATTATTTGGTTTATTATTGGTAAATATAATTAATTGATTTGTAAGAAATTGGATTGCATGGAAATAATTGGAATATTCATGTTCATATTGATTAATATACAAAAAGGTAGTTATATAACTAATTGATTTATATTAAAATGTTGAATTTATATTAAACAACTGTAATATTACATAATTAACCAATGTGAGGATGGATATAAAAATAGATGACAATGGGAAGGGGTATAATATAGAATAGAAGGGAAAAATTGAATTTGATTAAGATTAGAGATGAGGATGAAGGGTAATATTGGTTTTTTACAAAAATAGATGAGGAATAAATATGGCAAAAAGGAAATTGTAAATTTAATTGAAATGACTAAACACTGTTTAAATTTGTGAACCGGCCAAATACTCTGTTCAAAGAAAATACATTGTATGTTTGTATGTGTGTTTCTAATTATTGTTATTTATTCATATTTGTTCTCTTTTATTCTTTAAAGTTTAACAATTCATTCTTTATCTTAATATCTTTATATTTGTTTGGGGTTGGCTTTCTTCCCTTTCATCTTTTTTATTGTACAGCAATCTTTCTCCTCAAACCTACCACCTCTCTCTTTTCTTTCCTTCTTACTTTCTCTTCCTCCCCCTCTTCTTCTCCTCCCTACTTCCTCTTCCTTTCTCCTTCTCCTCCTCTCTTCCTACCTCTCTTACCCTCCCTCCTACTCTAATTTCCCTTCCCTTCCTTCATCCCTCTCTATTGCTGTATCCTTTTATGCATATGGACTACTCAGAGGGCTGAAAAAGTTATTTCTGACTGGTCCTCGCACTTTTGACCAGTCCTTGAACTTACGACTGTCCTCACATTTTACGTTTTTGCCCTATCTTGTCACCATGGTGAAGAGAAGCAGTTGTGAAATGAGTGACATGGTTGTTAAGAATGCTACAATGGGCATAAATGATGACCAGTCATAAGTGCGAAGACCGGTCAAAAGTGCGAGGACCTGTCAGAAATCACTTTTTTCAGCCCTCTGGGTAGTCCTTTTGTGCATATGGACTACTCAGAGGGCTGAAAAAGTTATTTTTGACTGGTCCTCGTACTTTTGACCAGTCCTCGAATTTACGACTGTCCTCATATTTTACGTTTTTGCCCTATCTTGTCACATGGTGAAGAGAAGCAGTTGTGAAATGAATGACACGGTTGTTAAGAATGCTGCACGGGCATAAATGTGAGGATGGTCATAAGTGTGAGGACCAGTCAAAAGTGCGAGGACCTGTCAGAAATGACTTTTTTCAGCCCTCTGAGTAGTCCCTATACACATAGCGATGGCCATCTGGTCACATGACCAGCTAGCCACACCCACCCAGTCACAAGTCTCCAAGCCACGCCCACAAAATAAGCCACGCCCACAGAACCAGTAGTAAAAAAATTTAGAACCCACCCCTAGTTGGGGGTCACCACAACATGAGGAACTGTATTAAAGGGTCGCGGCATTAGGAAGGTTGAGAACCACTGCCTTAAATCATTCTGTGATTATCTTGCACACATTGCCAATGATTTTAAAGTAATTTAATCCCAAGGAAATTTTATGGTTACTTTTGTATAGGCAAGAGACTGTAAATGATTTGTATATAAGTAAAAAAGTAATCTGTTCCTATAAATTAAGGGCAGGTAAAAAAGGACTTTGATGTATTTCTGGACTTGTCCAATTAAATCAGTATTTTATTGCACATATATTTCAGAAGATGCTTAAATTTATTTTGGTACGATACAGGCGTAACAAGACGGAAGAGTTATGAGGAATGAGCTGTTTAATGTTTAAGCAAGAGATTCCCTTCTACTATAACAGGTCAGATTACTTGGTTACCTAAACCCCTATTGTCTATTTTGATTGCCACAGCTTTCTGATACAAGTAAACTTCAGAATTATATTTCTAATGCTTGGAGTATCCAGGGGATTATCTCACTATTGGTCCATTCAGTTTTGCATTGGTCACAGTTCTGATAGCAGCTCTTCTCTAGGGTCTGGCTCTTCCATTTGCTGAAGAAATATTGGATACAGATGCCAATTGCTCTCATACCTGCAGTTCCCTGAAGCCTGCAGAACAGCCATTAGAGACAGGGGCACAACTCTGTACATAGGAAAACTGGTTTTCTCAAAACTTTGCGACCCTGAGTTTGAAGACATGCAGCTCACTAGCTTGACTCTTCAGCTTGGTTTTAGTTTGGTTTAGTGTATCAGAACTGGAATTTTGAAAAAGAATGCCAATTCCCTTGTCAAAACAAGACTGAACTGCTGATCAATGTTTTACTATCATTCAAAGTCTTGGATGGCAACTTTGGTTTCTCCTTGCCTTGATAAAACATTTCAAAGAAGGGAAGAAATAGCTTGAAAAAGGCCCTTCTGTACGTATGGCAAAATAGTAAAGAAAGAAGGCCCTCCTGTTGGGAACCATGTTTTGCATCTCCCCAGGCAGGGGAAGGGGTTGAACTGAAATGAAGAAATAATCAGGGATTGGCTATGAAGGTGACATGTTCACCCAAACTTTTTAAATTTTGGAAATATTGTTAGATATAAAGATTTGTTAACAGATAAGGCGGAATTGAAAGGGAAACAAGAACTGGAAGAACAAGGAATTGAAATGGATTGATATATATATATGCAAATACAAACTAGATATGAAAAAATTGTTAAACTACAGGTTTTTCTTAGAGAAGACTGAGCTTGATAAGATACTCATGGGAACAGAGGATAAATTAATTTTAAAATGTTACAATTTTTTTTACTAAATATAGAACTAGAGGAAGAACAAGTAAAAGAAACAATGGTAGCCTGGGCAAAAAATTTTGGATATTCAATTGAATTGGATAAATGGCAATATTTATGGGAAAGAAATTATAAATTAACAATGTCCACTGCATACAAGGAAAATCAATATAAAATGTTTTACAAATGACATATGCCCCCTGAGAAACTGACAAAAAATGTTTAAAGGTAAATCAGCTAAATGTTGGAAATGTCACCAGTTACCAGGTTCATATTACCACATGTGGTGGACATGCCCTGAAGCAAAAAACTATTGGAATAAAATTAAGTTATGGGTGAAGGAAATGATCCAATAACATATAGATTTAAAACCAGAACTATTCCTATTGGGTATCTTACCAGAGAAAATTAGTAAAGATCATATATACTTGATTATACATGTAAAAACAGCAGCAAGGATTGTTTATGCACAAAATTGGAAAGCAGAGAATATACCATTGGAGGGAGAAGTAATTAAAAATATTTAGACTGTGCAGAAATGAATAGATTAACTATGATGATAAAGGAAAGAGAAGATTCAGAATATTTTAAGATATGGAATAAATTTTACTATTGGTTAGAAAAGGGATACAAATAAGTTTTAAAAGAGATTGAAGAAAAAAATTGTTGTAATTAGAATATTATATTAATGGAAAACCTTTGTAATGGACTTGGTGAGATTGAAGACAGAAGAGATAGAGAAGAGAAGAATCTAGATCCGTTCCAGTCGGGCTTCAGGCCTGGGTACAGCACGGAAACGGCATTGGTCGCGTTGGTTGATGATCTCTGGAGGGCTCGGGACAGGGGTTGTTCCTCTGTCCTGGTCCTGTTAGACCTCTCAGCGGCTTTTGATACCATCGACCATGGTATCATGCTGCACCGGCTGGAAGGGTTGGGGGTGGGAGGCACCGTTTTACGGTGGTTCTCCTCCTTTCTCTCTGACCGGTCGCAGTCTGTGTTGACAGGGGGGCAGAGATCGACCCCGAGGCCCCTTATATGTGGGGTGCCGCAGGGATCGGTTCTCTCGCCCCTTCTGTTCAACATTTATGTAAAGCCGCTGGGCGAGATCATCCGTGGTTTCGGGGTGAAGTACCATCTGTACGCTGATGACACCCAGCTGTACATCTCCACCCCGGACCACCCCAACGATGCCCTTGAAGTGATGTCCCAGTGCCTGGAGGCCGTACGGATCTGGATGGGGAGAAACGGGCTCAGGCTCAACCCATCCAAGACCGAGTGGCTGTGGTTTCCGACGTCCCGATATAGTCAGCTGGCGCCATCGCTGGCTATTGGGGGCGAATCATTGGCCCCCACGGAAAGGGCTCGTAACTTGGGTGTCCTCCTGGACTCACGGCTGTCTTTAGAAGAGCACCTGACGGCCGTGACCGGGAGGATTTTTCATCAGGTTCGCCTGATTCGCCAGTTGCGTCCCTTTCTAGATCGGGACTCGTTACGCACAGTCACCCATGCCCTCGTCACCTCTCGTCTGGACTATTGTAATGCTCTCTACATGGGGCTCCCCTTGAGGTGCACCCGGAGGCTCCAACTGGCGCAGAGTGCGGCCGCGCGGGTGGTTATGGGAGCAACATGGAGCTCCCATGTAACACCTCTCCTGCGCGAGCTGCACTGGCTCCCGGTGGTCTTCCGGGTGCGCTTCAAGGTTCTGGTTACCACCTTTAAAGCGCTCTATGGCTTGGGACCTGGTTACTTACGGGACCGCCTACTACCATCAACAACCTCCCACCGACCAGTACGCTCCCACAGAGAGGGGCTCCTCCAGGTGCCGTCGGCCAAACAATGTCGGCTGTCGGCCCCTAGGGGGAGAGCCTTCTCTGTGGGGGCACCGACGATCTGGAATGAGCTCCCCCCAGAGATACGGAGGATTCCAGATCTGCGCACCTTCCGCCGCGAGTTGAAGACGCTTTTATTTCATCAAGCTGGCCTCGCCTAAATCTTCTCCCTTTTAAGTGTAAATTCTAAATTTTTAATGTATTTTAAAATATGGGTATCTTAAATTATGGGTATTAATTCAGCCAAATTTATTTAATTCATTTTATTCGATTTTAAATTTTGTATATCTATGTGTTTTATCTCATGGCTGTGCACCGCCCTGAGTCCTTCGGGAGTAGGGCGGTATAGAAATTCAATAAAATAAAATAAATAAAATAAAAAGAAACTTTTGAAGATAACAATGAAATGTTACATGGAAGAAATGAATGATGTACTAAATGTTTGTCTTAAAAAATAAAAAAACTTTATTGAAAAAAGACTAAACTGCTGATCAATGTTTTACTATCATTCAAAGTCTTGGATGAAATTTGCAACTTTGGTTTCTCCTTGCCATGATAAACATTTCAAGGAAGGGCAGAAATAACTTGAAAAAGGCCCTTCTGTACGTATGGCAAAATAGTAAGGAAAGAAGGCCCTCCTGTTGGGAACCATGTTCTGCATCTCCCCAGGCAGGGGAAGGGGTTGAACTGCAATGAAGAAATAACCAGGAATTGGCTATGAAGGTGACCTGTTGCTTGAGATTCAATCTTTCTTGGGGGATTCTTTATAAATGTACTCCCGGCCCCAATCTAGATCCTTCAGCATTCAGTTTGTAGAAAAAAGGATACATGCAGAATTGTGTAATATGTGTAGGAGGAGTAATGGAGGAGGGAGGATAGATTTGCTTACTCTCGTACAAAGCTGCAGTATTCACTTCCCTGCTGGCCTCCCTCTTAAAACTCTACTCTGCACGCCTCACAAACATCAGATCGGTCAGTTTCAACGACTGGCTCCATACACACGTTTTCAGCTTCCAACATTTCAAGAATAGTCCTTGAAAATTAGAAGGTGGAACCATCAGTTTCATTCCTACTTCTGTCCTTTTATGTTCAGAATTCTGAGGAATGGGAACTCTTTTAACTGGTATTTAAGTGGTTCCCTCACATCACAATAGACAACGTATAGCATACTTTGTTCTCTGTGATCATGAATGGCAGACGTTTTCCCATGGCAGATGACAGGGAAAGGGAAACAAAGGCAGGGGAAATCAAACAATGGTTTAATTAACATATCTTGCATATTTGGGGCATGATCATTGAATGTGACTCAGAAGACATACCACAAAGGCTAAACAGAAAATGGCTTTCAGGACAGCTAAATGCACGCTGGAATAATTTTCTGCCAATCTGAGAAATGGTAGTGGGCAAAGAACATTTGCTTCGGTAGGGGGCTGTCATTTGCACAAAAAAAAATCTCCCTGTCAACTCTGAAGCGAACCTGGCTGAAGCCATCTTTTGCTGCCTCACAGTTGCCACAAACTCTGAGAGGGGGAAGGGAGGGGGAGTAGATAGACCGGCTATCAGGCAAAACAAAAAAATTTCTTGTGGGAACCAAGGTCATCCCAACAGCTGGAAGTTGAAGGAGGAGTGGAGTGACCAAGCAGCCTGCCAGATACTTCGATTGGACAATGTGACCGGGGACATCTGGGGAGGGAATTATTTGCTCTTTTAATTAAGGAAAAAACAGTGGGAAGTTTTAGAGTTGGTTTTCACTAGCAGTGCTGATATGATATATCCAATAAACCTGTTCTTTGAGGAATCTACCTGCCTTGGAGTTGCTTTTGGCGGATGTGTTACTCAGAACGCTGACACTCCATACATATCCATACAACCAAAGATAATCTCCAATTCATATTGCCTTGTGATAGACATGATTTCCCACCATTACATCCACTTGGCGTATACTGATGTTTAAAGCAAATTTCCCAGCAAATTATGCAGATTTGCAATCATCAATGTTCTGAAGAATCCAGCAGTATCATTCCAGCTGAAGCAAAGCACTCAAAAGCCCATATGCTTTTTTGTAATATCTGATTTTCCAAATGTCAGATAGTTCCTTGTTTGACTTTTGAAGAAATGGATATAGCAGTTACAGCAAATAGTGTGCTATTCATCCTTCCCATGAGTCCATGAGCAGGAATCTACAACAATGTTTTTCTCCCACATGTCCTCTTCCCATCAATAGGTATTTGGCTTCCGGTTTTTGAGTTTGCATACAGCCATCTTAGCAACAGTTAATAATACACTTATCTTTTACTAGCATATCTAGAGCCATTTTTGGATTATCATCCCATCTTTTAACAAGCATGTTCCATACATTAATATATAATTTGTAAATAAGTGCTTTTAATTCACCCGAATCTCAGTATCACTCTAAACTTTTATCATGTTCCCACCATCACTGCCTTTTATCTATAAATGTAATTATTATTTACTAAACAAATAATTAACAGATACTGTAATATTTCCATGCAGTTTTTTAAATTAATGTCACCTGCATGGGTTTTTTTTAGTATGTAAACAGCAAGTGCAATGGAATATGGGTAGAGCAATCAGGCTCAACACTGCAATGGGTAGGATGGCTATAATTCTTCCCTTAACAAAAAAATGATGTTTCTGAATATGTGGTGTGCATTAGGAAGTTAAACTCTGTTACTAATCATGACTTCACAAAATAATAAAAAACAAACAAACAAGAAAAGTAACAGCAATAGCCAGAATCAACATGATTGGGATTAAAGACTGGATCTAATCTGAGTGAGTTCACAAGTGTGGTGTGGTATAAGTCACCCATGGTAGATGTATGATTTATGACTATAAATGGTTAATGGACATATACTGTAAATCTCTTAAATGTAGTTATAGAGACAACCTTCCCAGCTCCATCAGCATTCTCTAAAATACCCAGATTAAGTCTTTCTGCTGGGTAGAGTTGGTAGTTGCCTCCTTCTATCAAGTATATTTAATACTTCACATTTATTTGCCTTGAGTAAATACTATTTAATCAATTTACTCATTTATCTTGAATAAATAGAGAAAAACAAATTTACAACAGGTGGCGCTTTTAAGGCAATATAACATGAAGACAGTATGTTTGCATAGGTTGCATAGAAAAACATCTGAAAACTGTACCTCTGTCACCATCTTCTTTCACCAAATGGCCATTTGAGTTGTACCACTTGTATACTGGTTCTGGATAACCTTGAACATTGCAGTCAATCAATGCACTATAACCTTCCTTGACTATAATATGGTCAATTCTGGAGATTACCATTGGTACAAATCCCGTCAGCAGGTCTGTGTGATTTAAAGTGCTGTTAATGACATCTTCAGCAGTTGTCCATACTGCTAATAAATTGAAAACATGAAAGATGGTCCAGTAGTACAAAAAAAGGTGGCTCTTGAACATGTTCATCTGTCTTCAAATATATCTGCCAATCACAGTTAGTGGACCTGGAACTGGGAAATATACCAGGCTGGAGTAGCCCATCAAATTTGATCCATCAAATTTCAAAAGCAAACAAAATCTAGATCTGTAAAATAAAACAAATTACAGCAAAAAATAAAAATAGATGTAGCAGAAATAGTTAAAGCAATTTTGATTTAAACTAATAATCTATCTCAGAACTCATTGTTTCAAAAGTTTAACTTCAATGTTACTGTTATCACAACTCCTGATATTTTTTCTGTTTTTTATGTATTTGATACAATTTCAATGACAGAAAAACACTGTTTTGTTCAGATCAGTGATTTTAATTAAAAAAAAAACAGAAATAATGTTTCTTTTTAAAATATATATACAGGAGCAAAACAAAAATGATTTTTTCGGGTTGAGTTCATACCACTATCATTGTGTAGGAATAAGAATTAATGTAACAGAAATTAATGTTCTTAACAAATCTATTTATCCCAAAATGCATATCTAAAAATGTCTCAGGTTATGCTGGATGAAAAAAGCAGTAATGCACATATAATATGAAGGTAAACATTTTGTGTACACGACACAATGTAACTAAGGGTTTAGCATGTATTTCAAATATAATATTTACATGTTTTTTTATTTGTAAAACATTTTAGCAAATATCTATCTAAACAAAGATCTTTCCACTGGAAATGAGTTAGGATGTTTGATCTGGAATTTAATTTGTGTGCAGTTCTATTAAATATATATACCAGGGATAATAGTATTAATGTCAAAATAATTTTAAAGTTGTATATTGCATATATTTCAAAGTGTATCCTTACATAGTTTGCAGTTGACAATCATACAAAAAGAATTTTCAGTATCATCCCACATCTGTTGCTTAAAAGTAAGAGTTTGTTTGTTAAAAGCTTGTTAGTCAGCATAATTCTCAGTGAAGACTATAGAGAATAGGGAAGGGAACATTAATTCAAAGTTAAAGTCCTGCTTTGCATATAAAATATCCCTAGTTTGTGTGTCATTGCCAATTAAAGAGATCTCTGTTGGCAGGGTTTATTGGCTAGAAAAACCAATTGTCTGTTTAGATGACTGTAATAGTATTTTTTTCCTAACAGATTAACAGAACTGGAAGGGACCTTGCAGGCCATCTAGTCCAACCCCTGCCCTAGAACTGCATACAGGTACTCAACTTACAGTAGTTCATTTAGTGACCATTCAAAGTTATAATGGCCCTGAAAAAAGTGACTTACGACAGTTTTTCACACTTAGGATGATTGCAGCATCCCCATGGTCATGTGATCAAAATTCAGATGCTTGGCAACTGACTCATATTTATGACAATTGCAGTGTCCTGGGGTTATGTAATCTCCTTTTGCAACCTTCTGACAGGGAAAGTCAACGAGGAAACCAGATTCACTGAACAACCCTGTTACTAAATTAACAACCAAAGTGACTCACTTAACAAATGTGGCAAGACAGATCATAAAATGGGGCAAAATTTACTTAACAAATGTCTCACTCAGTAACAGAAATTTTGGGCTCAATTGTGGCTGTAAATCGAGGACAACCTGTATTGCTTCTCTGTCCTTTAATGATGATGGACATTTTTAATTCAATATAGATGATCTAGAATGGTCTGTCATCTGCTCCATTTGGTTCTGTACTGTTCTGGACAGGCGAGATACTTCCAAATAAAGAACTGGGTTTATGGGGTCCATTGGGAGTCAGAGGCAGTCTTAGAAATAAAAATCATAGTAGAATATGGTGTTTTGTCCTGGGGCATGCGGAGAAATTTAATGGATTGTATTAGAATGTATAGGGAGGTCTTTGAAAGAGGGTTGCTTATGAAATTTATGTTAAACAAGAACAACTGTATGCAAGAAAAGAGAAATGTTTTCATTTAAATTTTATTTGACTAAAACCTTATTTTATGTCAATTTAACTGATTTGTTATACTTTTTTATAAATGTCTTGTAAGTTTTGTGAATACTATAGCTGAATAAATCACCTGGATTTATTCACAGTCATGTTTAGTTACTATGAGAAACAAACCACGTTTCCAGGTTTAGTGCACAAAGCTGGAAACAGCTGTATCTCTTTATTAGATATTTGTTTAACTCACAGGAATACCTAAGATTATGATGATTGTGAGTGCAGTTGCTTCTTCTCAGCTGCCATGTCTGAGTCACACATACATATAAAACAACCCAAGCACTATTGTACAGAAAGTAGTGGAAAATCAGCCCTATTAATTGAACACTTCCTATCTTCTTTTTTCTTCCAGCTTTTTGCTTCATCTGTTTACAGTGCTTCATTTCTACACAAAGATCAGTCAGAGCTCAGTTCTTTCTTGGAGCAAGCCACACTCAGCATTGAAGACCTTTTCTCTAATTCTGATTAGGGGTCGCTATAGTCAATGATATATTTTATATAGATATATTTTTTGTCCCCCCCCTCCCCGGATTATTGCCTGCCTGGTTCGGCCTGTTTGTTTTACTCATCTTCAGTTGTCTGTTGGGACTTTTGTCATCTCCCCTCTTTGAACTGCTATCTGACTCCTGGCTCCTCTCACACCATAAAGTGTTACATCTTATCTTTTCATCCCTATTACTGCCTTATTGGTCTCGTTGTATTGGACAGAGTTATGGAGTTACAGACTGATGAACTATGAATCCTGGTGGACTGCTGCTGCATCATGTTCCTAGGAACTGCTCTATGACTCCGCCGGTGGATGTTCCCCACCTAGTCACCGTGAGAGGGTGGCTGCGGCTGATTCCGCGGGACTCATTCGTTGCAGCCTTGGATTCTCCACCACTGTGAGAGAGCGGTGGTTATGCCGGCCTGGGTTGACTCCTATTTTACTATCATTATCCCTCTTGTTTATCATCTCGGTTTCCTGTTGCTATTTTCCATCCACTTCTCATATTTATTATGGCTTACACTTCGGCGACCCTCCTTGCTCTGTGAGATGCCCCCCTCTCGCAGACATGGCCTTCGAATTTATCGAAGGCCTACCTCAAGGACGGGTTTTGGAACCCCGAGTGGTGGCATGCTTCTAAGTGTGGTTTGAGGGGTTTTTTAATTAATGTTTTTAATCAAATTTTAAGGGGACCCGGGAGGCGGGTGGTAAGGGTTGAGCCGGGGGCGGCTCCTATGGTTCAGCAATTGGGCCCGTCGGATGGTTGTGGGGGAAGGGAGGGAGGAGGAGGGAACAAAGAGGCTCAGCGGAGAGAGGGTCTTCCAATCCTTGTGACAGTTGGGAGACGCAGAGGTCGGGGGGGGCTAGGAGGACGCCGCCGCTTCGTTCAAGCGGTGGCGCCCTCCTGCCCCTCAGCTCATCCTGCTCCCCCGACGGCGACAGAGTGTGGAGCCCTGGACTCCGACTGGTGTACTTAAATGCCAGGTCCGTGGTCAACAAGACACTCCTCGTCCGAGATCTTATAGAGGAGGAGGACGCGGACCTGGCTTGTATCACTGAGACCTGGCTGGGGCCGGAGGGCGGTGTCCCTCTCGTGGATTTGTGTCCCCCAGGTTTCCGGATACTACACCAGCCACGACTCCAGGGGAGGGGCGGAGGAGTGGCGGTAGTTATTAAGGAAAGTCTTAGGCCTAGGGAGGTCACTGTTCCTTAGGTTGGCGGGTGTGAATCCCTCCTTTTGAAATGGGACCCTGGAGTTCAGTCTGGACTGTTGATCATGTACTTCTCCCCCAGCTGCGTGGCCTCAGCCCTGCCCGCACTACTAGATGTCTTAGCCGAATTGACGGTGGAACTCCCCAACCTTTTGGTTGTGGGAGATTTCAATCTGCCATCGGCCGGTGAGTCATCTGAGTTGGTGCGGGAGTTCATGACCTCCATGACGGCCATGGACCTGACTCAGATTGTACAGGGCCCAACTCATATTGGAGGACACACACTCGACCTTATTTTTCTCTCTGGACAGTGGATAAATGATTGTGGGGAGGGGACTCTATCTATTGACCCTCTGTCATGGACCGATCATTCCCTCCTTAGACTCGACTTTTCCTCCGCCATCCCCCATCGCAGGGGTGCGGAACCAGTAAGATGGTTCCGCCCCAGGCGCCTGATGGAACCCGAAAGTTTCCTGATGGAGCTTGGGTCATTTCCCGCCTCCTTAGCCCACGATTCATCTGAGACCCTTGTCGCGGCCTGGGAACAGGCTGCGGTGGGGGCCCTGGATCGAATCGCGCCTTTGCGGCCTCTGACCCGACGCAGATCCCGGGCGGCTCCTTGGTTTACCGTGGAGCTCAGGGAAATGAAGCGTCGGAAAAGACGCCTGAAGGGTGGTTGGAGATCCTCCCGATCCAAGTCCGACCGAACACAACTAAGAATCCATATTAGGTCTTATCTTGTGGCGATGGAAGTAGCGAAACGTAACTATTTCGCCACTCTCATTGCATCTGCAGAAAATCGCCCAGCAGCCCTGTTTAGAGTGACCCGCTCCCTCCTTAATCAGGGAGCGAGGGAGGACCCCTTACAGGGCCGTGCTGAGGACTTTGCACAGTTTCTGCAAGATAAAATCACTCAGATTCGGACCGGGTTGGACTCCGACTGGACAGAGTCCGTTGAGGTGACAGGGCCTAGTCTCGGTGGAGACATCTGGGTTGAGTTTGAGCCTGTTTCATTGGATGATGTGGACAGGATTATGAGTAGGCTGGGGTCTTCCACATGTTTACTGGACCCTTGTCCCTCCTGGCTTGTTTCGGCAGCCAGGGAGGTGACTGGAGACTGGATCCAGGCTATTGTCAACGCTTCACTAAAGGAAGGGGTCTTTCCCGCTGCGCTTAAAGAGGCGGTGGTTCGACCCCTCCTTAAGAAGCGTAACCTGGATCCTGACGTAACAACTACCGTCCAGTCTCCAACCTTCGCTTTTTAGCGAAGGTTGTTGAGTCCGTGGTGGCACAGCAATTCCCTCAATTCCTGGAGGAAACTGACTACCTGGACCCTTACCAATCTGGTTTCAGGCATGGCCACAGCACGGAAACGGCATTGGTTGCCCTAGTAAATGATCTCTGGCGGGCCAGGGATGGGGGTTGCTCCTCCATCCTGGTCCTTCTTGACCTCTCAGTGGCGTTCGATACCATCGACCATGG